GAAAAGAAACAGAAATGTTATTGAACAAATGTTTTAAAAATAATCTATTTTGCGAAAAAGAATTTATGTGGTATCTATTTAATATTGACGTCTGTTATCTACTGTGTGCGTGTGTTGCCGTTGACTACATGAAAAGAATGTAGAATGGGATGAAAAACAATACGGAAATTCTTCATAGTTTTATGATATGTCATCGAGTCAAATGACTTGTCAAGAAATAAAGTAGTGGGCGGGCATCTTAATGTATTGTTTGCTTGTTTTTTATTTCTTGTATTTGCTTGAATACATTCTACTGACAAAACTAGGATTAAAGATGACAGACAATCGTAGGAAAAACCTATATTATTTTGAGGATAGATTCTTAATTTAGCCGTGACATGCTAGCAGAGCTTGAATATTTTTACTCCTTTAGAAACTGGGATGCCATCATGCCGTACAAAGCTCTTAGAAATTTAGCCATTAGTCATTAACCACATATTTACCCATTTTTTGTTGTACTTTTTGCTAGCTTATTTGGATGAATCAGATTTATTTTTCCTTATGCGAAGAAAAGTACAGTAATCCATATTGCTCTATTCGTTGCTCATTTACTGCTTCTCCCATATTCTTCTAATCAATGCTCACAACTATTTTGTTTTTCTGACTTTTTATCACTTCTCTGTTTTCTAGGATTCTACTGCAAATGATATTCCAAGTGAGTTCAATGTCAGAGGATATCCAACTCTGTACTTCTCTTCTGCTAGCGGCAAGCTTATGCAGTATGAAGGAGGTAGAACGGCAGAGGATTTTATTAATTTCATAAAGGAAAACAAGGATTCGACTGGCCAATCCCAGACACCAGTTCAACCTGAGCCAACAATAGAAGCAAAAGATGAACTTTGAGCAAGGTATTCACTAACTAACGCTGTCTATTTATTAATTTACCTCATCTCTATCTATTTGAAAATTGACAGTCCTTTCTTGTCTGCAGAAATTCAACGACGAGGAGAATTATGTCTTACTGCGATGAGGGTTGAGAAAGGAGAGAAACAGCTTTAGCTAACCTTACAATTTTACTCGTGCTCTGAGGCATTATTAGTTGCATGTTTTCTTGTAACTTAAACTAGATTATAAACCCTTAGTAGTTAGTTACAAAGTTAAAATCATCAATTGTGCTGCATGCAATATTATCAAATGTTTGTTGCAGGTTTTATTATGATTGATCAGGCCAACTGTATTAGAATCTTGTGACATCATTTTTATCCCATAATGAGGAATCTTCTCATCAAATAACGGTATTGCCTTGCCAAGCTACAATCTGGGCCAACACTCTTAACAGCAAAGTTCGGCTGTTACAGGTTCCATTCATGAAAACACATTCATCATCTCTCACTCAGCACGCGCTGTTGCATGACTATTTATTAATTCTTCCTAACAAGCGTGAACTACCGGTGCTGATTACAAAGCTGATGCCTATTTCTGCTTTCTTTTTGGGTTGTTTGGTTCACGCCAACTGCAAGAGTTGCCACATTCATCAAATACGCTACTCTTGCCTTGTTCTGGTTGTTTGTTGTAAAACTAATAAATACTTGCAGCTAAAAGTTGCAAAAAGGCCTCAATTTCTAGTCGGGGAATTGTGGAGATTTGGACAGAATGTTCGTGGGGTCTATGTTGCAACTTCAACTGTAATCGACCTCCAATGACCTGATCATTAAAAAAAAAAACAATTATAAATGCAAATTCCTGTGAAAGTTGAACTTCATTCCGACCGTTTTTCTTTTACTTAGCGTGTACTTTGTTCAGTATATATTTCTCTCGACTCCTAAACCTACTATCGTACCTAAATCTCCAATTTCTCTTGCTTTCTGCTTGTTATTTCCCCCCAAAGCCCCCAGTGATCTCCAATGACCTGATCATTAAAAAAAAACCAATTATAATTGCAAATTCCTGTAAAAGTTGAATGTCCTTCCGTAGCATGTACTTTGTTACAAAACCCTTTCCTTTTGCTTAGCATGTACTTTGGCTCTTTAACTCCCAAACCTAGTAGCATGTACCTAATTCTCCAATTTCTCTTGCTTTCTATATTTCTGCCCAAAGCCCCCAAACTTGATAACAAAGGAATTAAGTTGTCGGAATCAGAGGCTTGCACCCTAACCAAAGCATGTATCATCTGCACTTACAAATTTGACCTTTTATGGTTTTAACTTTCCCATAAAACCTCATCCAACTACAAGTTTATGCGGGCTCAGAAAGTTCAGTTTCTCCTTGCGTGACTCCTCTTATTTCCTCTCACTTTCCCTTCAACTATAAGTACGTACCACCTAGTTTTCTTCATCTCTACCCTTCTCTTTATTCTTTCTCCTCTCTCTTTTTATATCAGAAAGAGAGGAGGAGCAAAGACTCAAGCATGGACATCCTTTTGAAGCTTAGAGCTTTGGTTTTCTAACAACAAACAGTTCATCATGGTAAGGTCAGTTCTCTTATGTTTCCATCCATTTTCGTTAACGGGAGGGCGAAGCTTTTGCCCCCTTTCAACACAAGATGCTTGTGCTTTCTATTCTTTCCTTTCAGAAGATCTCAAGAGGCTTGAACAGTCCTTAGCGGAGGAAAGCTCGATCTCTCTTCGATGGTCAGTCGAAGCCATGAACCTCTTAAAGAGAATGCAGATCGAACTCCTCGCGCTTTTCAAGAAGTGCAAGCTCCCTATAGTTTTCGGAGCTGAAGAGGATTGGTTCAACCAGTACATGCAAGAGACTGCGATTTTATTAGATTTTTGTAACTCATTGAAGTCCGCGATCTCTGGGATCAACCGTTATCGCCTTGTTATTGACCTGACGTTACAAAAGATTGTGCAAGGCGATACCATGATTTCACTGGAGGAGATGGATTTTAAACATGGAAGTTCCCTTAGCACGAAAATGGTGAGCATGGGCAAGGACATCTGCCTTCAGGGCAACAACAAAGCAGATAAGAGAATTGGTACTGTGATGCTTGCTGCTAAATGCACGATGATAGTAGTATCTGTCCTCCTCATATCTGCTATCGTATCTCCACTTCCAATAAATATTGGAAGCGAGGGACTCACTTCAAAGTACCCTCAACTGAAACCGTTCATAGAGATGCTCAATGCGTTGGTTGCTCGGTTCCATGAGAGAGCTGTGAAGCCGAAGAAGGGTTCAGGGCTCGTGTTGGCCGAGCATAAGATGGTGGACAGCGTGGTCGGAGATTTGAGAGCACAGGCGGTGAAGGGAGTCGAAGGGGAGGATGAAAAAGAGAGGTTTCTGATGAGTGCAGAGCTTTTGAGGACGAGTTCAGATGAGTTGAGGGAGGGCATAGAGATGTTTGACGCTGTGGTTGATGAAGTATTTGAAGTAGTAATCAACGGGAGGAATGAGATGTTGGGGGTCTTTAGGGAGCATGTTTATGTAAATTAAGGGATATGTGATATAGTATTTCTCTTTAACTTTTTCTTTGAAAAACACTGTATATGCTCATCAAGGGGGAAATGAAAGTAAGATGAGCATTTTAAAGGAATATTTTGAGTATGTGTAAGAAATATGCTGTATGCATCTGTTATTTTGTTAAGATCAATAAAAGTTGTTGAGTGCTGATAGCGGGTTGGATCCCTAATTCACATATTACGTGTGTTTGTGCATGAACAAGGTTTGACATTAATCCGCATTTTTTACGGCCAAGGTGTCCGTGATGGATCTAGTTTTGGATAGTTTATGGCAGACAGAGCCCTTACTATGAGGATGTTAGTCATTTACTCTCTTAAATATTCTATCAACACTCACACCACCTAAATCTCGTATAATATCATTTTTCTAGTTAGGTTGGTGTTGTATGCTAATTCTCTCCTAGGAGCCGATACGTGTCTCGAATTAGCTATGCACCAAATCAACTCGGCCCTATGCAGGACGAGTCGAATAACATCATCACTTGACCCTTCTCAAGAAGGGTCGAGCCGAAAGGCGTCCTCACTTTAAGGCCGTCTCTCTGTCTCTTCATTTTGTAAAACCAAATCGAAGAGCTCTCAAGCCTTAATGGCTGAGTCAAATGACAACTTTTATCGATCCTCTTGCAAGGCCGAGACAAAAGGCGGTCATTCTCAAACCACACGCCGACAGCCGATCACCATCACGTTAAATGCATGGTCAAAGTCATCATTACTCGAACCCCGAAAGTCTTAATGACTCATCAGACCTCGTCAGCATCTTATTTCCACTGTCACACCCTCATTAATCACGAAGGTGACTCACACCATCCGCGGCTGACACCTGTAAAGGATCAGCCGAATAAAATGACTGCTTGGACTAAGAAGCCGAATAAAATGACTACTTGGACTAAGAAGTTATAAAATTGCCCTCCTGAATCTGCTATAAATAGGTGTCATCCCTACTTAATTTCTAGCAATAGAACACACTGTAATTGTACTTTCCCTCCACTTAAGATCAATATTAACTTGATCGTCGGAGGAACCCCCGAAATACTCAATTTCGACCCTCTTACATGTTGTTTGTGTGCAGGACTGAATCCTCTACCCAAGAATCAACAATCAGAAGAAGATTGAGGAATCCTAAAACTATACATAATCCACACTAAAATTTCCTGTTGGTTATTTGACATCAACCCGTTAGAATATCACATAAGGGTCAGGTGGTAAGAGATTACCTTCTAGCGCTCCATTTAGCTAAAAAGGACTATATTAAATCTAAATTTGAGAGCAAAAGAATTAACACCATCTGAAATTAAGCAAAGGTAAGTGCGAATAAAATAGTATAGGCTGGATGATTGCTAATGCCATAATCATTTGCTAACGCCATAAGGACTACCGAAACCTAGCTGAGACCAAACACCAGTCGGTGCCCAGCTGGATGATTGCTCCACGTCACTGAGGTAATGAAAAGCTCTGTTAGGCTGAACTAAACACTAGTTTCTTGCATGCACAAATTGATCAAGAAAGAAATCTAGAAAGATTTGAGTACTTCATGATGAGAAGAAATAACACGGTTTTCCCACTTAATTTGCTCTGCTGAAAATTTTGCACGTTGGAAACGTTTGCCCAAGCAGTAATAAAGCAACAAGATATATATATATATCATTCATAAGGATAATGTTTATGCACAGTAATTAATGTAGAAGTATTCACTATGACTCGTATCTACGTACATCGATCGAGTGAAATTACATTGCCCTTGAAGAAATAGCCCAAGCCAAATTAACTTTTATCAATCTGTGCTGCTACCCGTTTACAGGAATTTACGGAAGTATAGATGACTTTATAAGGCGTATCATGGTAATCAAGCGATTACATGGCAGTTTGGTTGTGCGTAAATGGAGCTACGAATGTAATAGTCCTATCAGATTGTATTCCCCGAGTTTAGTTTGCTAAATTCTACATAAATCTATAATTTGTAGGGGGGAAATTTTGAAACAAATGTTGTGGCTACTTTGACAAAGAAATGGTTAGTGAGACTATAAGTTACAAAAACCCAAACATGGTTTGTTAAGAAACGTCAACAAAAAGCACATAGAATCAATTTTCTCTTTATATTAATGGCCTGTTTGGATGGAGGGTAAAGAGGGGGAGGGGAAGAAAACTTTAATTTTAATCTAACTTGTTTGAGAGTTCCATTTAGGAGGATAGAGGAGAGGAATGAGAGGAAATTTGAGACAAAATCTTACACCTACAAAAACGTAAACATGATTTGTTAAGAAATGTCAACAAAAAGCACATAGAAGTCATTTTCCCTTTATATTAATGGCTTGTTTGGATGGAGAGTGGAGAGTGGAGAGGGGCAGGGGAAGAAAACTTAAATTTCAACCTACTTTGTTTGGGAGTTTCATTTAAGAGGATAGATGAGAAGAATTAGAGGAAATTTGAGTCAAAATCTTACGCTCCAAATTGTCATGTAACAAAGAGAATAAAGAAACAGGAATTTTTCCCTTTTCTTCATCTCCCAAACACAGCATAAGAAGGGAGATAAAAAAAAAAGGGAAAAATGCTTCCAGCCCCCAAAACGAATGAAAACAAGCTTCCCACCCCCAAGACTTTTTCCGAGCGAAACTCCGGCGACGAGCGCTGCATAGCCGACGGGAACAAGCGACTGAGGTTTTACTGCTTCATGATTCTCTGCGAGCTGGATTTCATGGGAGCGTAGGAGCGTGCGGGAGGACCTATTCATGGGAGCGTGGGAGCGTGGGAGGACCTGTTCGTGGGAGCGTGGGAGCGTGCGGGAGGACTCGCCCAACCCAAGAACAATAATAAGAAGAAGAAGGACAAGATTGATAGTAATTACAACCATGCCCCCTGACCTTGGCTGCTCCTGCTTTGGATGCTACAAGAGCTTCTGGGCTCGTTGGGATGCCTCACCCAACCGCCATGTCATCCACCTCATCCTCGATGCCTTTGAAGAGACCCTTGAATCGAAGGAGGCCAACAACAAGTAGAAGAGGGGGTTGAAGAGTAAAAAGATTGATTTTGATGAGGTTTTGGCGAAAGAGATGAGCGCCCATGAGGAGAAAGTTGATGATGATGGCCATGATGATGGGTGCGGGCATGTTACTAATTACCAACGCTAAAACTATTACCACCAAAAAATTTTTAAAATAACCCAAATAAAAATATATCGGTTGCTTGTTAAAATTACTCCCCCATTAGAATGTCCTACATTGGTTGATAAGGTTATATATTGGTTGTTAATGTTACGCGTTTGTTGTTAAGGTTACGTATTGGTTGTTAAGGTTATACAGGTTGCTTGTTAAGGTTACGGGTTGGTTGTTAAGAATACGCGTTGGTTGTTAAGGTTGCAGGTTACTTGTTAAGGTTACGGATTGGTGTTAACGTTATACGAGTTGATTGTTAAGGTTACGAGTTTTTACTTGTTTAACAACCAACTCGTAACCTTAACAACCAACCCGTAATCTTAACATCCAACCCGTAATCTTAACAACAAACGCGTAACCTTAACAACAAACGCGTAACTTTAACAAGCAACCCGTAACCTTAACAAACAACATGTATAACCTTAACAACCAACCCGTAACATTAACAACAAACACGTAACCTTCATATTAACGAATCCTGAGGATATCTCTGACCGATTATTAGGCTCTGAAAAACACGCTAATTGAAGAAAAATGTAAACTTGGACCTAACAAACAAGGTGAAATCTCGACATCACAATAACAGCAGAACAAGGACCAGTGAAGCAAACAAAATGCACCAAAACATCAAATCCAAGCTCGACGGGGGAAAAACGTGTTGATTCCGACAGAGAGATCTTGAGTGTTCTGTATATTTAGAGTAACTTTTAGACGATATAGGAAGTCTAGATGCACTATTTTTATGCATGTTGGCCCGCCCATCCATGTTAACGTCTTTAATAGGTAACCAAAATAAATTTATATATTTTTCAAGAACACTCGCTTTTTTGTAATAACTCTTAATATGGCAACATCTTTTAATTAATATGCATGACACTATTCACAACATTTCTCAAGCTTCAAGCTACGTTCAGGAGTTTACATATTTCTCCAATTAGCGTGTTTTTCAGAGCCTAACAATCCGACAGAGAGATCCTCAAGATCCGTTAATATGAAGGTTACGTGTTTGTTGTTAATGTTACGGGTTGGTTGTTAAGATTATACGCGTTGCTTGTTAAGGTTACGGGTTGCTTGTTAAGGTTACACGTTTGTTGTTAATGTTACTGGTTGGTTGTTAAGGTTACGGGTTGGTTGTTAAGATTACGGGTTGGTGTTTTCGTTAAAAGTTGCTCTCGTTGTGGAATTCATTATATCTTCGGTCGATTACAATAAATTCAAAAAGGATAGTCTTTTTATAAGACTCCTTTTACACAACAAATAGAAAATTACAACTTTTTAGAAACAAACGCAGGATCGTTGTTTGGATCGCTGCTTGCGTGGGATCTTTGCCTGTGCCGGGAGCGCTTTGACTCGTGGACCACCAAATCACAGATTCTGATTGAATCGTGAGGGGTTTAATGGTTCTTCCTTCGTTTATCGAAGTGAGAATATGAAACGATATCTTATCAAAGTAAGATAGTCGTTCTTCTTAAGAGCAAGTCAAAGCTCGAATCTCAAGGAATGGCCGGAAGCTCAGGAACTCTGCTCTCTCTGCTCTGAAGTGC